TGTCACGGTCTGTGATGGGTCCAAAGCCTGTCTGTCACGGTCTGTGACGGTTAATTAGCTAATTAAATACTAATTAATCAATTAATTAATTAAATACTAATTAATTAATTAAGATGTCTGTCACGGTCTGTGATGGGTCACGTGACAGTCTGTCACGGTCTGTGATGGGTCACGTGAGTGTCTGTCACGGTCTGTGGGGGGGGAGGGGGGGGGGGGTCCAAATTTCTACCCTTAAACACTTCAACACTCCTTTCAGATCGTGTTTCACAAAAAGGAATACGTGCCAACACCTCTCCCCCCCTCCCCATAGACTCTAAAATTTACGTCATATCATATATACCTATTCACATATCGAACACTTTTCTTATAGAAGAAATCATTTTTTCATTTTTCCATTTCACTTTTACTATAGATATCCTCATTATTCCCATGCATTTTCATTTTTCCGCTGCACTAGAATATATATACCTATTCACATATCTGACACTTTTCTTATAGAAAGACGCTCAAGTCAAAAATGTTATTTTATGCATGATGATGTACATCAAGTTGTTACACGATAAAGAGAGCTATCTGTACTATACATACATAGTGAATGCAAAAATGAAAAGGCAGCAGAAAAATGACTTCAACTTATAGGAATAATGCTCGAACAGGAACGAAAAATGTCTATCATATATATATCTATATACAAATATTTTTAGTGTAAAGGAAAATGAAAAGACAACGGGAAAATGCTTTACTACAAAGAAAAAATGATTTCAAATAATAGGAATAATGCTCAAACAGGAACGAAAAATGTCTCTGATGTATATGTTTATATACACATTTTTTGTAGGAAGGAAAAATGAAAAGACAGCGGAAAAATGCTTTACTGCAGGAGAAAAATGATTTACTAGAAAGGAAAAATGATTTCAACTAATAGGAATAATGCTCGAACAGGAACGAAAAATGTCCGTCATATATAAATCTATATACATATATTTTTAGTAGCAAGGAAATATGAAAAGACAGCGGAAAAGTGCTATACTATAGAGGAAAAATGATTTTGTATATATGAGAAGAACGTCAAAGAGAGAACGAATATGCCTCATCGAAAGATATGTTCAAAGTTTATTATAGAGTCAACTGTTTCAATAATCGGGGAGAGGAGGAAGTTGAACTTTTGGTTATACAGAATAATTTGATTTTGTTGTTTTTCTTATTGTTGTTTTTCTATTGTATAGTGAACAGCGATGAATGGACTTCAATTGATTGGTGATTCAAAATTGTTTTTCTTTTTGATTGGTCGGTATTTGAAGCTTTTTGAATATTTTTCACATTAAAGAAACACGAGAGAGAAGAAAGAGAATATTTGTCTTTCACCTTCGAATTGACTTCTTATCTATTAAAAATGTTTGGTCGATTTCAATCGAATTTTTCTCTAGCTTGTCGGTTGAAAATTACTTCAATCGAATAATCTTCCTTCGTATATTCACATTATTCTCATCGATTTTCATATTACCACTAGAAGAAAAATACAACTCTAAGATGAAATCAATTTTCCTCTTCTCCTGGTCATTATTCCATCATTCCTAACCATTTTTCCTATGCAGAATAGCATTATTCTGATCGATGTTCATTTTTCTGCTGAGGACAAAATACATATAACAACATGATGAAGTCATTTTTCCTCTTCTTATAGTCATTATTCCATTAATCTCAATCATTTTTCCTACGGAGAATAGCATTATTCTCGTGGATTTTCATTGTTTCCCTGATGAAAAAATATATGTAACTATAACATAAAATCATTTTCCCTCTTCTTATAGTCATTTTTCCGTTAGTCTCAACGAGTTTTCCTATGAAAAATAGCATTATTCTGATGGATTTTCATTTTTCGGCTGATCAAAAAATAATATATAACTATAATATAAAATCATTTTTCCTCTTGTGATGATCATTATTCCATTATTCTCAATCATTTTTCCTATGAGAAAAAGCATTATTCTGGTGGATTTTCATCTTTCCCCTGATCAAAAAATATATATAACTAAAACATAAAATCATTTTTCCTCTTGTCGTAGTCATTATTCCATTATTCTCAGCCATTTTACCTATGAAAAATAGCATTATTCTCATTTTGTCAGGAGCCGATCATTTTTGTGCTGAGCGTCATTTTTTCGCTTGGAATAATCATTTGTGTCACCGATGGCAAAGTTGCCCAACCCTCTATAGTGTAATAGATCGTATCTATTTTAAATAAATGAAGTTTGTGTCCATAAGCAGATGTCTGAATAATTGGAAGACACGAAGATGATGATAAAAATATGATTGCCTGTAGATAAGAACAATTATTCTGTATAACAATCATGAATTCTTATGTAATATTACAAGTTACCATAAATATGTACATCAAGTTACATTCGATCCTGTTTTTTTAAAGGATCTATCTTTGTCTGTATTACACAGTATGAAGGTAAAAAGAAATTGAGAATATTTCACCTAGCAAGTATCATTGAGGAAAAATAATTTTGTATTAATATTTATAACTTGTTGATTTGGGTGTGGGTGTGGGTTTGGGTGGGTGTGGATGTGTGGGTGTAGGGTGTGGGCATGAATATGACACTCTTGAATAAATACTCACACTGCCACCCACACCGCCACCCACACCCACACCCACCCACACCCACACCCACCCAAACCCACACCCCACACCCAGCCACCACACACTCACACCCACACACCCACCCGCACCCACACCCACCCACCCACCCACCCACACCGACACCCACCCAAACCCACAACCAGCCACCACACACCCACACCCACACCCACACACCCGCCCGCACCCACACCCACCCACACCGACACTCACCCACACCCACACCGACACCCCACACCCACAGCCACAGCCACACCCCCACCCACACCCACACCCCACGCCCACGCCCATCCACACCCACACCCCACATCCATCCACACCCACACCCCACACTCATCCACACCCACACCCACACCCACACCCCACACCCATTCATTGAAACCGACTTAAAGTTGCCTTTGTAGAATCGCCAGTGTTTATTGTCAAGCCGACGACACAAAAAGTAAAACAAGGTGAGATAGCCTTGTTCAAGACACAAATCGATGGATATCCAACACCTACTATCACATGGCTTCTCAATGGCAAACAGCTGACAGCGAAAGAAGGCGTTCAAGTGCAATTCTATGATACGACTGGCGAAGCGAAGTTGTCCATTCAAAAGGTTGATCGAGAACAACATACAGGTTCCATTACTTGTCGGCTTCAGAATCCTTATGGTAACGAAGAAGAAACTGTTCAACTCACTGTTCTTACTACACCAATAATCATCGCACAGTTGCCCAAACAACAAGAAATTGTGAGTGGGCAAGATGTCACACTGAAAGTGGTTGCACAAGGATCACCACGACCTTCTGCACAATGGTTCTTCAAAGATGAGGCCATTAGATCGGAAAATACGTTGATAGACGAGGCCAAGGGTGAATATCAACTGTTAATCAAAAAAGCAACGGTGGTGCAAAGTGAAGGTACCTATCGAGCCGTGTTGAAGAACGAAGTTGGTGAAATACAGTCAACTCCATGCAGACTTACAGTGCTGGAGTCAGTGAAGTTAGCAAGAATGAAACCACCACCGGATACAATTGACTTACAAGAAGGCAAACCATTCGACATTACCGTGGATGTGAGTGGCAAGGAAACACCGAAAGTTCAGCTGACAAAAGATGGAAAAGCAGTGCAGTTCACAAGCGAGGGGACAACACGATATACATTTTCAGTGGCTAATGTAAAGCGAGAACATCAAGGTGTATACAAGGTGACAGCAAGGAATAGGACTTCAACTGAAGAGACGGCTGTTACCCTCAATGTTGTTACTGGTGAGTTTGTCTGTATTTCAAAAACAAATTTTGCACCGCACTCATTCTGTAAACTCTCATGAGATGGAAACTTCTTAATTGTCCTTTCCTATCATTGTGTAGCCAGATATTAGATAAGTTTTGTCATATGCATGAAAACTTCTACTTGCAGTGTAAAACAGAGCGAAAATTTGTAATTACTATCTTTTTCATTCATACTCACACATAACACATTCTTCTTAAAGCTCACTACTCGCGAATTGCATTCAATTAAGATAACAAAAGACGATGATGTTTCCAAGTTTCGTCCAAATATGACACAGTTCAATAATGCGTCTTTCAATTGTTTTGAAAAGATTAAATTTTCTCTCGCAATTGAAGATTTTTTTTTTTTTTTTTTAAATATGCTTTCTTTATTGTTACACTCGGAAGTGCTTACAAGTATAAATATACGACTTTATAGCATTTTGTTCACAACATCATGGATGATATTAGCATGCAATGAAATCCAGTAGATTTATAATATGCCATTTTGGACAGACAGACAAATTGTGATAAAATGAGAAGAGAGGCGAGAAGAGAACATAAGAGAGAGGAAGAGAACGAAGCGATATGAGGAGCCGAGATAGAAAAGAAAGGGAAGAGACAAAAAAAAAAAAAAAGAAGGGAATAAGACCAAAGGAATATTTTAATGGAAAGTGGATAGCCTAAGTGTTCACATGGCTGGTTTCATTAGCATAAAAATTCCAGCCACTGAAGAAGTAGAACTTGGTGCCTTTCACGTATCTGTTTAACTCGTTTTAAGCGAAAAAAATGTCCCATACCATCGTTTTTTCTTTTTTGAAATGCGTCCCAGTAAAATATGTCATTGTAAAAGGGCGATTGACCTAAATCAAATTTTTCGATTCGTTCTAATCTTTTCTTTATGTATCTCTTGACATACTCTTCTAAGGGTTCTTCGTTTGTAATATGAAGAAGTTCTGTCGCTCGTGCAAAGGGACAGCGATGAACCAATCTTAATCCGTTCCGAAATTTTCTTAGAAGTAATTCTTTCTGAGTTTGAGGTAGGAAGGGATAAAAGGGAAATATCCAGGCAAAATGTGGAAAACTATAAGCAAAGAAACATTTACGCAGAGTTTCTTTCGATAAAGTTCTACCACCTTTCATCCATTTTAATTTACTGAACGTATTTTGAATGTTTTCACATGTTTTGTCAATCGTTGGTTTCAAAGACATCTTATTTGACCAAATAAATCCTAGGTATTTGAATTCACTAACTACTTCTAGTTTTTGCCCTTGCATATAGACATCTACCACTGGGTTTTCAACTTGCGAGTGAAATACTTGCACTACTGTTTTAGATAAATTAATTGGTTGTTTCCACTTCTCGGAGTAATTCGCTATTTTGTTACATATTTTAGTACCTTCTTCTTCTAGAAACTTTAACATAGGCCTAAATTCACGGCGAATTGGTGGAGATATAAGTACACTAAGATCATCAGCAAATATGTGGCTAGAATGAGCACCTAAATATGTGACAAGATCAGAATGATAGACTATGAATAAGTATGGACTTAAACTACTACCTTGTGGCAAACCAACACTAGAATGAAATATCTTTGATTTACTCTCTCCAAATAAAACATAAGCACGACGATCATTTAACCATGAGAAAATTAATTTCAATAGTCCAAAAGGTATACCTAGCCTGTTAAGCTTAACAATCAGACCTTTATGCCATACTTTATCATATGCTTTCTGGTAGTCAACATATACTGCTAATGTTGGAATATTTGCTGTCATATTATTTTTCACCTCTTGGTATATGGATAGGACTCTCGTTGGAAGTAAACAACCTGGACGAAAACCTGATTGTTTAACTGGAACTAAACTATTTGTTTCTCCCCAATGTCTTACTCTCTGTAACATAATTTTTTCAAATAGTTTGGAATGTGTTGCTAGAAGTGAAATTGGTCTTGTTTGTTCACAGCGCGGCACTCCTGCTTTTAGTTTATTCAGTGTAATTATCTTAGCTATTTTCCAAACATTTGGATATCTGCACTCATCTAGCCATGTATTAAAGCACTGTGCTAAACAACTTATATACCCGGGTGGAATTCGCTTGATCATGAAGTTGGAGACTGCGTCGAATCCTGATGACATTTTTGGTTTTAACTTCGAGATATATTTTTTTATTTCAAACGCACTCGTCTTTTCAATTTCGTTTCTACTAGACATCGTAATTCTGTTCATCAGTTCTAGATATTCTGTTTCTATCTGAGATTCGTGTGGATCCGACAAATTCGTATTTTGTGTTTTGAATTGTTCGGAGTAATATTTGTATAGGGTCTCACTAATTTCTTTTTCTTCTGATAACACTTTCGTACCGATATCTAATTTTGCAAATGGTAAAGTTTTTGGTTTATACACTCTAGATACATATGACCAGAATATCCTATCAGTTCTGTCATGAGTTTCTTGAATTGTAGACAGAAACTCCTGCCACTTATTTGATTTGTATTTTGCAATTTCAGTTTTAACTTCCCTTGTTAATACCCGTAGTAGCACTCTCGTCTCCTCGTTTGTGTTATATATACATTTTTTGTGATAATATTTATTCCTTACTCTTTTCACTTCTTTAAGCTTCTGAATAAGATAAGGAGGCAGTGCTGGTCGAAATTTTTCTTTTTCTTTGCATTTTGTGAGTCTGTTTTTTAAAGCAGCAAGAAAACGCACGTAATTCATATACCACTCATCAGCTGTCATTCCTCTCTTCTGTTCCTTCATCCAAAATTCGTGTAAAAGCGTGAGAATAGCTTCGAAAACGTTCCAATTCACAAACGAAAACATTCTACTCTTATCAAATCCAACATTCTCGCACGATATCTTTAGTTGCCAGTGATCGCTTGTACCCATCTTTAGAGTCTCACATCTCGTTTCTCCTATGTTTGTAAATGTTAAATCAATGTTTCTGTTCGAACGTTTTAATGAGTGCGACGCTGATGGAATGTAACAAAGATTATTTTTTTTCTATCCATTCTTTTATTAGTCTACCTCTTTTATCAGACGATTCACTCCCCCATTCTTTAATGGCTGCATTGAAATCGCCAGTGATGATAGTATTTTCAATGATATATGGTTCTAATTCTTCTAACACTCTATTTTGACATGTTGGCCAATAAATAGCAATGATTCTAATCTTCTCAGAGAGACCACTAACATCAACAATAACTGTGTTTTCCACGTTAAAATTTACACGTGTTCCTTTTAAATGTTTTCCTACCACAACGCAAACTCCTCCGCTTTTATTTGTTCCGTGTTGATGAAAAGTATTGAAATGAGGTAGACGAGACGTGTTCCATAATTCTCCAACTTCAGTGAAAACGCATACAGATGCTTCTACTTTAAAAACAATGTCGGTCACTTCTAAACTTCTTGACCCCCAACCTTGTACGTTATAGCAGAGAATATTCAATGGTAATCGTACCGTTTTTGTTTCTATCGGAGTCATTCTCTCCCACTGAGTTAAAACTTTCTCAAGGGTACTTCCTGTAAACCACTCTGAAAGAATTTTGTCTACTAGTTTCTGGTCGTTTGCCTTGAATCCCCATTGACAAAAATGATTCATCGCTGTCTCTTTAGGATTAGCTTCTACAGATGGAAGAAATGGTTTGGCTTCTACTCTAAGATTTGAAAAACTAGTACTCATCTAACTGCTCATATTCTGAATAGATTCATTATTCAAACCTTTGTTGGGTGCTTTTGTTGGTTCTTGTGATGGAGAAAGGTGTGGGAGTGGAGATGTACTGCGTTTTCGGCGAGTTGTATAGTCTGATTTTAAATAAGATAATAATGTTTCCAACTTAGTGAGTATTTTTTGCAATTTCGGTTGATTTTCTTTCAAACCTGCCACATTATAGTTCGTCATTGGCCAAAGAAAATCTGTAATGATCGATACGAGTATAGGTAGCTGTTTTATTAATGTTTCTTGGTGTAGTTCTACATCAAGAGCAGTTTGATTGACACGTTCATTTATTCCATGTAATTTTTCGTTTATACGATGAGTGTACTCTTTCATATCTAAAATATTTTGATTTATTGTTAATAACATTCTTGTTGTATCTTCATTCTCTTTCATATTGGCTGTTATTAATGGTTGTGCCGTGGTTAGTTTCCAAGGACTAACACCCTGCATTTGAGCCGGTAATGGTGGAAATTCATTTTTATTCAATTGAAATTGTGTCGGTTGAGAGTGTTCTTGTGGTATTAATCGATGCAGTTTGCCTGTTGATAAGGCATTGTTAACTTGTTCTTTTAGTTGAGAACGATATTCAAGCACTTTTTCACATACATTAGATAATGAATGATGATTACCGTTACATTGTGCACAACGAGCGATATTCGAGCAGACATGTGCTTGATGATCGTTTATACTGTTAAGACAGATACGACAGCGTGGATGTTCTGCTGTACATTTATCTCTCATATGACCTAAACACCAACATCGAGTGCAATAAGTCATTCGATTACCCGTCAGAAATGATGTAATTATGCAAAATGTATTGCCGATTGATATACGACCTAGTTTTAAGGCTGCATTGTATTCACTTAAATCTTTAACAACAAATCGAAAATCGTTTGTTCTTCGTTGAAAGCGATACTGAATGCGTCTCACATTCTCGGCTGATTGAATATTTTGTTCTATTTCTTCTTTAACATATTCATCATTGTATTGAAGGGGTACATAACGAACAACAAGAGCAAATGAATCTGGAATAAATTTCGGCTTACTTACATTGATATTGATGTTGTTGACTTGTGTTGGCCATTTTTCAGTAGATATTAATGTTGCATATGTTTCCTTGTTGTTTACTCCTAATTTTAATTTATTACCGACATGACCGACGAGAGAAAACTTGATAATTATTCCTTGTTGTTTGAAGTAATCTTCAATTATACTTGCTGCTGCAAGATCAGAGGGTCTTTTCTTCAAGTTGACGTCTTGATCGAATTCAATTAAAAAACATGGCAGATTGCTTGAAACAGCGCGTTTCAACTGTTCAAATGGTAGTTGATATTGTTGTAGTTGTTCAGCTGGTTGTTGCTGCAATTGACCCGATATTGGATTATTACCTGATACATTAGTTGCATTTGTAGCTATTGATAAATTTGTACGACCCGTGCTTTTTTGTTTTTCATTTGATAATACACGTTGCTGTTTCAATACTTGTATACCATCATTGTCGCTTGTATCTAGGTTTCGTTTTGGTGTTTGCGGTGTGGACGATTCGATAGGAGCATTAAAGTTAAGATGCTGAAGATGTGTAACCTGGCTAAGATGTTTATGAACATCATACGCTGCACTGGGATTGTGTCGAAGGTATTCGATCATTTCCTCCAAATTGCATTCTGTTACTGTGTTAGTAGATTCGACTGTCGTTCGTTGCCTACGCTTCGGCATACTATTAATATGTGTATTATTTAGCTGTTGATTGTTTGATGAGCTTTCTTTATTAAATTTGTAATTAGTGTTAATTCCTCTCCTCATAAGGCACTCTGAGGAGGAGGATGATAACGTTTGTAAAGGAATGTAAGCAAGTGCTTGTGCGTCTACTCTCGACCGAGCAAAGAAGAGTCTATGGGCTTTTTTATTTCAAACTGAATTCTAAAATCAAAAAAACCGCACCAACTTCTTCCGAATCAAACTTTTCTCGTTTGATACTACGTAGTCCCACTAAAAACCCTTAGTCCCCCCTAGTCCTGCAAAGTCCCCCTTAGTCCCCCCCACAAAAAGCTTAGTCCCCGCTTAGTCCCTTGTGCAGGGGACTAAAGCCTATAGTACACAAAGCCACAAGCACACCCTCACCCTCACTCGCGCGCCCACACCCGCACCATGGGTGTGGGTGTGTGTGTGGGCCCCAGACCAACACCCACACCCTCAGTCACTCCCCCCCCTCACTCCTAGACTCACGTTTCAGTTTGAAATCAAGTATTATTTTTATTTGATAAATTCAGACTGAAATTAAATAGCCCATAGTATGGCAAAGAAAGGGAATGAATTGAAGATTTTTGTAATGTTAGTAAAGAACATTAGACATATTCAGATCCAATTGTATCTCTCAATGTCACACTAATAAATTTTAAATACGAACTGCCCATGACATCTATTTTTCTTTTCCTTTTTAGTGGCTAGATGAGGTGTGAGCGTTAGTGGGTGTTGGTTTCACAAATGACCTTTTTTTACTCCGTTGATCAAGAGAGGAAATCTGAGATATTTCAAAGGGGTTTTACACTGTTTCTCAGCATGGGTAAAACAGATGAATGGATTTAAGTTTCTTTGTTATATATTGTGGTATTGATAAAGGCAATATGCTTTTTCTCTGACGACACGCCTTTCTTACAATATGCAGCAACGGCCTACGAACTGTCTAACTCGTATTTTAGGAGCACCACGTGCAACAGCCACATTCATGTCGACGAGTTCTGCACAAGCAGTAAATCGGCTTGTCCACGTAACGCGACACTTCGCTGATCAAGTTTTGAAAAAATTTTTTTTCGAGTTGGACAGATCTCAGTGGGGTACTGGATGCAGTTTTTTACGCTGATTACGAATTTGGTATTAATTTTGTATAAAAATCAGATTTTGATATCGAAAACTGGATTTTAAAGTTTTCAAAAACCGTATTTTGGATTTCTTAACCAAGAAATTTTTTCAACAAAGGTCAAGAGACATACCATTCGATGCAGAATTAAATTCTCTACAAAATGGTCTATTTAGTTTTGACTTTGGCAGCTTAGAACAAATTGGAGACTTCGATACAATTCCCAACTTCCTGCTCAGTTTATGAGCTCTCAGATCGATGTATCAATCTCATTTTTGCATAGGAGATTGTCTACATAGAAAACAGTAACACTTAGAAAAATCAAGTCATTCTGAGTACATTAAGTGCCTCAAAATTGGTCAACAAAAAACTGTGTAACAGCGTTACGAAAAACGTAACAGCGTTACGTTTGTTTTTTGCATTTTTTATCGGAGCAAAAATGTTTTAGAGAAAATCTTTTTTACTGCCTGAAAGCCTATTCAATGCTCTACAAAAAGGACTCTCGGAGCATTACATTTGAAGAAATGGTTTCGCAAGAATTTAGAGTTTTCTTGGCGGCACTGGAAAAAAAGGGTCCTTTTATGTAACAGCGTTACGCCATGATAAAACCTTTCTAGATGCCTGAAACTTCAGTCAAAAAAGGCGATTTTTATATGATAAATAAAGTTCGATAAGCTGCGTCGAATGACGTTTGAACGAACTTCCTAGCTCTTAAACTTTTCGAGATAGTTGAAGAAGAGTGTGTCAAAAACGTAACAGAGTTACGTTTGGACAAGCCGAAATACACAATCGAATACCAGTACGTATAATTTTCGCAAAATTCGAGAAAAATAATGCTCCCCAGATAGTTGAAAAAATGTTGTTTTATCGTTAAAACGCTGCTTAATGTCACACGGTTTGAACGGTGAGGTGCGAAAATGAGTGGGTGGGCGTAGATGAATGTATGTGTGCGTGTGGGTGCGGGAGTAGGTGTGTAGCGTGCGTGTGCGTGTGCGTGCCGGTGTTGGCGTTGGTGTTGTTGCAGAGAAGACAGTCACCCCACTCTCACCCACACTACGCACCCACGCCCAGACTCATACTCCCACCCACACCCACATCCACCCACACTCACACCCACCCACACCCACACACCCACATCCACACCCACATCCACCCACATCCACACTCCACACCCTAAACAAGCAACTTCACAAAACGTTTATGTTTTCTTGACAGTCTTTCATCGAAAGACATACTAATTTGCGTTACCCAATATAAATAATAGACATTGATGTTTGAAATTATTGAATATGATTAATAGAAATCTACAAATTAATCAGATTTCTATTGAGTATATCGAGGACAAGTTTGATCATAAACATGTTTCGTTTTTATTTGATCTGTTCTTCTTGTTCTAAAACAAGATAGAATTAGGTAGATCTAGTTAACATTAGAATTTCTCGACCATATCATTCAGGAATTAGAAAAAATATTCAAACAAAAAATTTTTACTAAATTATCAATTGTCATCACAAAAAAACATTACATGAAATACTTGAAACATCTTGAGCCAAGTGGTGGTGTTTCTGCGTAGATTCAACGTAAAAACCAGTCACAAGAAAAAAATCAAAATACTTAAGTTGAATTTTCTAAGGATTCAAAACTAGAGTTAAATAAATCATTGTCTCATGATTTAGAATTTCGTTATATCTTCGAAGAAACATCACTACTTGACTCGATAGGACTCATATATTTCATCTTGTTCTGACAAAAAACCATTGAGGACAAAAACCGAAAATTATTTTAAAATTTCTTAAAACCTTTCAGGTTTGACAGTATATGAAGATCTGCTACTGATTTTGAATGATTTTACTGATATTTTATTTATATTCGAAACAGAAGATTCAATCTAAACGCACATCTATATATATAATGTTCAGTGTCTGTCTGTGTGTTTGTCTGCCTGTCTGTGCCGGGTCAAAGGTCAAAGGTCAAAGGTCAGATAAGGCTATAAGGGGAAGGTTGTAAGGGCTGTTATATATGAGGGCACTCATGGGTCCTCAAGGGCTATTATATGGAAGTACTCACAGGTCCTCTAGAGCTATTATATGGAGATATCCATAGGTCCTCAAGGGCTATTACATGGAGGTACCCCTGGGCCCTCAAGGACTATTATATGGAGGTACCCATAGGTTCTCAAGGGCTATTCTATGGAGGTACTCCTGGGCCGTCAAGGGCTATTATATGGAGATACCCATAGGTCCTCAAGGGCTATTACATGGAGGTACCC